CCAAATATACGTATTTAGTGGACGGCCCAGCCGACGGCAAAACGGCTGAGGAACGAGTGAGGGATATGAAGAGATGTCGGAAGGTCGGAGATGTTCCTCCTGTCTACCCGAATGGCTGGATGTCTATCCTGATGTCGTCTGAATTGAAGAAGAAGGAGCACAAATTCGTGTCCGTTGCTGGTAGGTCCACTTTAAAAAACTACTTTTATTGGCTTTTTAATATAGTTACGGAGAAATGTTGAAAATGAATAATCAGTTGATGTGTGTGGCGACTGGCGAAGTTTGCTTTATAATTAAGTCACTTTATAATGGTAAACTTTATAATCAGCTTAGAACAAATTGAGTGGGAGAGATGCACATTGATGACGTCACCAGACCCAGACCGGAGTTTACAATAAAAAAATACCTTTAAATTTACAAAATTGTTAAATTTTAAAGGTAATAGTTTCAAGGTTTAAATTGGTGGTTATGTCGTCACGATGACGTCATCGAATATCAGATTTACAAGCAAACCAAAGATTTTTATTTTATTTCTTTCTGGTAATGAAACCAAGGATCCCTCAAAAGTGCCCTAGGCACTGTAGCCCGAAAGCCTGAAGAAACCTGTGAAGAAGACAATGAGAAGAAATTACAGTTTTAGAGGTGGGAGGAAAACCCCAGAAGAATATCCTGGGGAAAATCCACGGAATCAGGTAGGGACTGAAAACACAATCCACATATTGGCCCGGGCGGGATTCGAACACGGGTCACAGCGGTGGAAAAGATTTAAAGATTTAATCAATCTAAAATCAACTTTAAGAGATCTGATTTTGCTTTTTACTGGAATTGATTGAATAATTCAGGGTCTTAATTTTTGATATAAATTTTTGTTAAAATCACGTGAACCTTCTTTCCATTTGAAATCGGAAGTGCCTTGTAATTTGCAATTGGTAACAAATGTGAACTTCTTTCAACGATGTTAGTTTACGGCAAGGTTGGGCTTTTAATGCAGAACAGCCCTATTTTCTGTTCTCAAAGCTATCTAAGTTCTGTTGTCTAAGTTGAAATATATGGGGATTCACCCCACACAACCAAGTGATTCCAGAACGTCAAGCAAGGTATACACTTTTCATTATTATTGGCCATTTAAGTACCGGCTCCCTCTCATTTTCTAGGTAAGAACTTGGTGGTATTCCGAGGAGAAAGTGGGCGGCCCTACGTCGTTGACGCCTACTGTGCTCATCTAGGCGCCAATCTGGCCATAGGTGGCTCAGTGCACGGTGAATGCATCGAATGTCCCTTCCATGGCTGGAGATACCGGGGAGAAGACGGCAAGTGCGTCCATATTGGATACGCGGAAAAAGGTGCATATTAACATGCCTATGTTTTTATCACAATTCACAATGGTTTCAGTCTGAAAATAACTATGTAAGGGCGAAACACTGTGCGAAGATTTAGGAGTTTTATTCAAGGGTAATCATCAAACACGCTGTGAGATTGTTTTTCCTTGCATATCATTTTTTAAATGGCGGGAATTGTATGATGGACAACTGAGATAAAACATTTCTGAAATGTGTCTTCTTTTCTTTCAAATACAATCGGAAATTCTTCGAAGGATTTGACCTGAATTAATACTTTCTTCAAAATTTAATTGAACAATTTTGGTATTTATCGTAGTTTTTTTTTTCCACGTTGACTGGCAGCTAACCGAACAAAATACTTCAGTAATTTTTTTTTTAAAGAATTTATCTCATGGCGATGCTTATCATGTTTGTATATCCAAATTTAACTCCATTGATTTCTAAACATAGAACGGGTCAAATTAGGAATTTGGCTGCATAAAGCGACTTTGGACCACATGTAGATTGGTATGAATTGCGACACATCTTTGTTGAAGGGTATCTCAGGTCGGGTTGTGGGCCCCGTTGAGTGGGTGAGTCGATTGGAGTGGGTTGGGTTGGGTTGTGTTGGATTGAATTGGATTGGATTGGATTGGGATGGGTTGTGTGGGTTGGGTTGGGTTGGGTTGGGTTGGATTGGATTGGAATGGATTGGGACGGGTTGGGTCGGATTGGGTTGGGTTGGGTTGGAATGGGTTGGCTTGGGTTGGGTTGGGTTTGATTTTGTTGGCTTGAATTGGGCTGAATTAGATTGGGTTGGTTTGGGTTGGGTTGTGTTGGGTTGTGTTGGGCTCGATTGGATTGGGTTGGCTTTGGTTAAGTTGTGTTGGATTGGATTGGGTTGGGTTGGGCTGGATTGGATTAGGTTGGGTTGGGTTATGTTGGATTGGATTGGGTTGTGTTGGATTGGCCTGATTTTTTTTGGCATTCAATAGGGGACGTTAAACAATAGAGGACAATAGTGGAGTATTGTTTGTGCTAGCATGAGTAGCCCGAAATATGACAGTATCTATTTTTCACAAAATTAGCTTTAAAAAGTACAATCTTTTTAGCTGGACGGTGCAAATACCAGCTGTGCCACTTTAGACCGCCATTTTCGGATGTCGAAAGGTATACTATAACAGAAAATAATATGAAGATCAATCATAAAATGTTGCGAATAAATGGCCATGTCCCAAGGACAGAGTTTAGTTGGGGATGTCTGATTTGGTTTGGGAGGGAGTGGCTGTGTTAGGTCGGATGAGATAGGTTTGCGTTGGGTTAATGGGCTGCAATGGTGTAGATCCGTGTCTGCAAGTGGGTGGATGGGGGATGATTAAAATTCTTAAATTGCCCGGCCGTGGAACTTCCACATTACATTGAAGAAGGCACTGTTTATGATACAGATGTTCACCTTCATTGCGTGCTTACGCGCCTTAATCTTACGTGAAAACGGCGCATTTTAAACTTTTATATTATTTTTTTCTCTCCATTTTTCAGTGCTATTTAATAAAAAAATGACTATTGGAAAGTTCGAAGAAATACCTTAATAGCCGTATTCTGTGCTTCTCGCCAAAAAAAAAGGCCTGTGCCTAACCTGGCATACTTTTTCAAGCTGTGTTAAACTACATAAAACCTGCCGAAATGACATCACACTGACACATCAGTAAACGTGCTATCAAATCCCAACAGTACCCGACTTTGTGAAGATTCCCACCTACCAGTCCTGCGAAGTCAATCACAGAATCTGGCTGTGGTACCATGCTGAAGGCAAGGAGCCCGACTGGCAAGTCCCGGAGCTCGAAGATATCAATAATGGAAAGCTTCACCCTGTTGGCTTCACGGTTTGCGAACTCGACAGCCATAACGAGGTAAGTCCTTCACTTCATGGACAACAAGACATTGGTAACAGCTTTAACTTCAGCGTTATGTCTTTTGGAAAAACGGATAACATAATGCTCTAATAAGTCGATGTCACTGCTGGTAAATCAACACCTTAGGTGCATTATATTGATATACATCACACTGTTTATTTATATTTTCTTGTAAGTCAAAAAGGCTTGATAGCACTTTCAACTACAGTCATGCATTTTGGGGTCTATTTTTTACTTTCTCTTCATCAGGACACCCCTGAAAACGGAGCTGATGTCGCCCATCTAGATTACCTTCACGGGCCGTGAGTTCATTAAGGAAAGAGATTATCCGATTTTTGCCACCACTTTTTTTTCACCAGACACCCCGCTCCGTAAAATCAAATGGTTGTGGTGGTGGTGGTGGTAAGGGGGGGGGGGGGGGGGGGGGGGGAGGGGCCACCATCTTCCAGGGGGGCTTTGTTCAAAACATTGTCATGGTGAATGTTAGACAGTAACTATAACGGCTCTCGCAAAAAGAAAAGGTTGGTGACAAATACGCAAAAAAATCGCGGAAAAGGGGACTCATTTTCTTCCAGCTAATCATGGTAACTCATACGGCTGTGCTTTTTTCAGGATATCAATTTCCAGTGGGGGGGGGGGGACGGGGGTGTCAACTTTGTATGGGGGCGTGCGCCTCCCCCCCCCCCCCCCCCAAACCCCCCCCCCCCCCCCCCCCCCGTGGCTTAATTCGCCGCTGCTTTACATGCCTTCGGCTCGGCCACGCTGTAGCCTCGTCTGCATCCGCAATTCAGCTTCTCAGCTGCGAGTAAGGACGCTTAGCCCTTACCCCACCCAAAACATTGATGAATACCCTTTAAAAACAATGAACGAAAAGTTTCAAAGGAAAACAGTGAAAAAAAGCATCATTCTCATTGCAGAAAAAAAGCTACTTGATTAATTGCTCATTACAAAACCAAATCTGGCAGTAAAAATAATACTTTAATCTTAACTCATTTAGTTTGTTAAAATCTCATTTGAAATTGAATGCATGTGTGTAAATCTCTGGTACTGACACCGAACTGCGCAGAGCTTCAAAATGGCATTCCGTGGAAATAGCTGTAAACATGGCTTTAGTAATACATACATAACCATTGGGAGCATGTTTAATTTCAATGATTTTTTTTCACATGAGTTCTTATGTTCTTTTAATACATAATCTCATGGTTATATCAAACTTGATTGCTTGTGTAAAAAAAAACCCATTAGTCAAGGTTTATTTCTTATTGAGTCATCCCGGAATTCTTCTATTCGCTGGCATGGCCCCTACCATGTACCGCCTTATCCAAAGGCGCTTGTGACCGCTAATCCCTTTCACGAAAACTTGTTCAGGAAACGCAGTTTAATATAGTTCACAAAACACTGAATGTTCAAGGGCGTATATAGCAAGGTCATTTTGATTGGGGGTTGGATGTAAAAAGGGCACTCGCTATATCATCCGTCCTGAAAGGAAGACAGGGTTTTCTCACTGATATCAGACATTTTCCATGTTAGCAAATTTGCTAACTTTAGTGTTCCAAGACAATATCGCCGTCTGATTGTAGTCTAGGCACCAGTTGTTAAAGAGGAGCCAAACGGACTATGCAACGATAGCACAAGGATCTGGTTACCATTGTCTTTGGATAGAGGCGGATGGAGCAAGCGAAGTTGAGAGGCCTCGCTCCTGTGACAAAACTTCCAAAACTTAAAACGTAATTTCCATTTAGATTTTTGTAAACTAAATTTCCTGTTTCCCTTTCCCTGACAGGAGGGCTTTCGTTGGTCAGGCCCACTTTACCGACGTCAGCTGGGAGCCACACCCTACCGATAAGCATGTGGCTTTACTTCGTATGTCCACCGAACCCCCGTATTTTTATAATCTGTTCAACCTGCCGGCAAACACCTTCCATATCGAGCAGGTATGAGTAGAGAACTTTCCCACATCAGGCTCATTGTAAAACCAATCCTGATGTTCGGAATATAAATTTTATAAAAACAAAAATATAAAAGGGGGATACTAGGACCTGTAAGCTGCTGTACAATATAAGCCAAATGTCGACATCCACGTAAGACGAATCGATAGAAACAAGGACGAATCAATATGCCATATTCGTGAATTAAACTGGACCCAAAATGTTATCCGTTTGTGTACATATTTACATTTTTATTGGAACTTGTGGAACGAACTGTGTGATTATTATACAGGGTAATTAATTGGAAACAGGCATAAAATGCTGTTTCGCATTTTGATGGATCATAACAGATAGGACCCTGCTTCGCCCATTTCCACATGGACAGTCCCATGCTGGGTGAGCTACAATTGGTCTTAACCGTCACGCCTGTTGGACCCATGCGACAGAGGATTGTGACCACTGGGTATACCCGGAGAGGACCCATCTCATTCTACATTGGCAAGAAGGCCTTGTATGAACAGTTCTACCAGGTAAGAATTCCGCCTTCCCCTCCCAATTAGCCGCGCCTATGGCCACTCCTCCTCCTCAGCCATGTCAGCCCGTACTGTCATTCACTTCCCGTAGGCCTGCTGTCGTATCTGCCCTTCCACTTGATCACCACAGTACACACGCAGGTCATCACTGCGTCTCATTTTGGCGAGAAGATCATTGGCCCATTGGTATGTGTTCCTTTAGGACCAGCATTGTGGAGCCACATTGATCCACTCTCGCTTCGTGTTGTACAAGTCAAATGAATCAAGAGCCGCAGAGTAAAAAACAAATGATGAAATCAACCTAGGATATACAGGGTGATTAAAAAAAAGAAACCCAAATGTCGGGACCATTTTTGTAGTGAAGTTCTGCATGTAGCACTTTCAAAATCTAGGGTATGAAAGCCAAATTCATAAGCTTTCGTTTAGTACAAGAATCAATCAAATCACTTATGTACTTTTTAAGTTAAGGAGTTTTAAACACAATCGCCGTTTTAAGGTTCTGTCCACGGATCACAAACAAGTTCAGTGTTCTCTCAGCAACACGAAAACAATAAAGGATGTGTGTGAATTGGCGTTTTGCTGAAAGAACACACACCTTTTGTGTGATCCGTGGCCAGAACTTTAAAACGGTGGTTGCGTTTAAAACTCCTTAACTTGAAAAGTACATGTGATTTGAATGATTCTTGTACTAAAAGAAAGCTTATGAATGGGGCGTTCATATCCTTGATTTTGAAAGTACAACATGCAGAACTTCAGTAAACAATTGTCCCGACATTTGGGTTTCTGTTTTTTGACTCACCCTGTACTCCAAAATATCTAAGAAACAAGTTCCCAGCATGAATTGAATCAGATACATGTACTTGCATTATTAAGACTAATTAAACATGGTCCAGGCCGGACCTCATAGCGAACGGGCTACCCTTCCTACCTCTACACCGGCCTGCTTTATCCTGCTGCCTGTTAATCTGCCCAAACAAGCCTTGCTTCACCATCCCCACTACATGTTCGCCAGTCGCGATGCCTTCCCCATTATATAGACTGCCTGCCTCGAAATTAATAGTAATATGATTTCCTCTACTAGATTTGGGGTGACCTTCCGGTGTGGGCCAACAAGAGGTACGTTCGTAACCCCCCGTTTGTGAAGGAGGATCATCTGATAGCGAAACATCGCCGATTCTTCGCCCAGTTCTACTCTGAGAACAGCCCCAAGTACGACCCGAAAGAGGAATCTATGGATTGGTAAAATTACCGTCTAAGGTTAAAAAGAGAGTACATGTGTATCTCAAAGCTGTCACTTTTAATATTTTGGCTTGGCGATCTACGAGTAAAGGCTTAAGACTAGAATTTTGCGCTTTCTTTTTTAATTCATATGCAAAGAACATTCATGTAATTGCTGTAATAAAAGGAATTATTTAAGTGTTGTTATTGTCATACGATTTGTTACGTTAGCGTATAATTGCTTCATTATAATGTGCTATACGCTTTAGAAAGCAACCACATAATTAATGTTTTACAAACAAGGATGACGAGGCGTTGAGTTAAAATAGATATATCTTTTTTAGAATGTAATTACTGTTTCGCTCGGAAATCAAAACGAATTGGTCTAGGTGAGCGTAGATAAACATTAAAAACGTTTGACTCAATTTTAACGCGAAGGGGCCGGGAATGTCTTAAACAAATATTTAGGGGAATGTTTACCTGAATACCATTTTGAAACGTTTTGAAACGATTACATTGCTGTATGTTTGTGAACCCTACCCACAAGTATGACAGAATTGAATTGAAGAAAATAATTTGTTTGAACGTACTCCCGAAATTTCCTGTAATCGTAGAAAAATTCCCAGTTTCACCCGAGGGCTAATTCATTGAAAACTTTTTTGATAACTACCTTTGTTTTCTGATAAACACGTTGTGTGACATGAATAAATAATCCACCAGTAGAAATTTAAGTAAAGATGCACTTAGAATGCAGTAGTTACAACCTCGATCCAGCTCTTCGTGAGAGGCATCATATAGGAAATAACGTTCTTGTACCTTTAGGGGGATGAGGTGGGCATGCGCAAGTACAAAACACTAAGACGACCATGAATTATACGACGGATTATATTATCATTTACTCAATTGCTGGAGTTCGATGGTCCCAAAGACACGGGATCCTATTCAAGATCGTTTAATGTAGCTTGAAACTTGCAAAATTATTTGAGCATTGTAGCCTATTTGATCCCCCAAATCATGAGGAAAAATCGTGTATACAGAGAAACAAATAATGAGTATCATCAGCATGCTTTTTTATTAACAAAAACGTGTTAATATTTTCATCATCTGCTTGCTTTTTATATAGTTTGCTTTAAGTAGCCTATACTTCTATATTTGTACTGTAAACAGGTTCTTATCGGTAATTTAGGTACAACGTTGTGAGTAGCGGCGTAGACGGTGGCGTGGCATGGGGGCACGCTCCCTCTAAACAATCTGGAAATGTGTATCACCATGGTTAATGGTTTAACAGAAAGTGGGCGCCCCCACATAACATCCAGTCCCCTACCCCCACTTCCCCGTGTGAGAATTACCCTGGCTACGCCGCTGGCTTTGAGTTTACACTTGAAATATTTCGACAGATTTTCGCCAATCTCTGCCAGATCATAATTATAAGTAGTTGTGTTTTGTACAAGGCATGCTGCGAATAAAACTGACAAAAGAGGGATGAATTAGATCACAACAAAATAACTCCTCATGTAAAGGTATCATTAGCCGTTATAGTAAATCAACTTAGCGGAAATCCTTAACAGATGACATGTTGCAGTTTAGGTCGTGTCTATGATGTTGTTTGCGTTACAACTAAGCATTCGTTACAAGCGTTTTTTTTAATAAAACAACTTCATTTCCTGCTACAAATTTTGTCATAATTTTAACATCTTTCAAATAGACCTTTTGCAACCGCTTGAACGTTTTAAATAATTTTACGATGCTTAATAATTTTACGATGCTTAAATCGCTACAGTGTGATATTCCTCGACGAGCAAGTTATTGTGAAGATACACCTTGCCCAACCTATTGCATATCCTTAATCTACATGAAATGAAAATTCATTCGAATAAATCGTATTTAGATAGTGTACGTCTTGTTTGATTTGCTTTATTTCTTTATTAAAGATGTGAACTATATTAAGTAACGGCGCTTATATTGTTTTCGCTGATTACACGCTATAATATGGCGTGCAGGAGAAGTAGCTATTGATCTTGTCAAAAAAGGGGCTAAGGTTTCGTTCAGGTTATGAAAGAGATGAACAGTGTTTAATGAGCACTGCAAAAAATTGGTCCTCATGTTATACAGCAACGTGTTGGTCTCCATAAGTCGTGAAGTCGCACATAAATCACCCCAAAAAGGTGAGAGCTGATTGCATGGTCAAACACAACTGAATATCAAATCGAGGACTGTCCTTTCAGTTTTGGTCAAGGCCTCAACCTCGGAAGACATTGCCCATAATATAGCCTGAGACCCATATTTACATGCCAGTGAAGAGAAAAGAAGGAGACCAAGGGAAGAGTTATTGGTTTGGTCTAGCAGGGAACTCTTCATGTGGCCGAAGGCTACTTATAGTTAATAAATATTGATGTGAAGCGAGTGGACACGGAGAGATGACTAGATTTGATTAATTTATTCGGATGAATCTATACAAAATATACAGTTGTGGCTCTCTCGAATATATATACAAAAAAACGACAGTCAAATGGGTATGCAGTTGTACGTCGCCTAGGCTGAACAACGGTCGTGCCACCACCAAACGAAGGGGAAATTGTCCCCAACTAGCTGTAGTTGAGCTATAATCAGAGCACTTCTAAATTGTAGGTGTGGTCTGATCGCAAGCAAGTGGATGAGTGTCTCTAGCAATGCCTTGTCATTACACGAAAGCTAAGTTATGCAGCACGCAATGCAGCTCAGAAAGTGTTAACAATATTCTGGAATGCAAGGTATGTTGGAATGTTCCTGGCCAATGCAGCTAGTTATGCTAGAATGTGATTGCAGGAAAGTTAAGGAACCAAGCGAGGGCGTTGCAATAAAAAGTTTCTGTAACTACAGAGGGCGCTAATTATGTTATCAAAATAATGGCTCATCATATTGTACAGCCTGTGTACTATGCTTATGATTATATTAGAAATGTTACCGAGACCTGTCTGTTGTAAAACACGACAGGTCACACTCACCCCCTAATTTAAAAAAAAAGAAAACTATACGAGGAATAAGTAGACTATGAGGAATAAGTAGCAGTAGTTAGATGGTAGTATGTACAAGTTCAAGTTTCTGCCTCTACAAATGCCAACTTATCCTAGAATCTTCCTAGAGGATACTGCATGGTGAATACCTAGTGATCAATATCAATTAGAAATATCTCTTAGTCCAGACTCAGTATATCACTAAGAGCGAGTTGACCTCATGGACTAATATAAAGATGTTCTAAATATCACAATAAAGATGATAAACTAGGCTACTATTCAAACCAAATGTCCCCTAGTATGATAGAACTATCTAGGAGGGTATTATACAAAACAGTCCAACCTAGGATGTCCCTAGAAACGAGTTAACCTCAATGCACTGATGAAACCTTCTAGTCATTCTGCGAATAGGGCATGTAAATGGCTGATAAGAAACTTGACAATACCTAAAATTTGCTAATTAAACTGACAATGCGGTCACATCTAAATATGCGAAGTAACCTCGACATTATGGCCTTATTTTAAATTTACTTCAATCTACCCTTGATTAAAGCTAATTTATAAATGTATGTTAAAAATATGTACAAACTTCATAACTAAACCACTGTAGTCAACCATCCAATGACTTCATGAACGTTACAACATCAACAATTCTCATCCTGTGTCGCCAACACCACTGAAAACATGGCTGGATCAATATGACAAGGATACATGATGGAAATAGCCAGAGTAAATGAAAATATCCAACTATTTGTCCAATGTTAATTGCTACAAGAAGGATCACAAGAAAGATCAATAGCAATATTATTTGTCTGTTGCTATCAAATGCGATATGTTGGCGATTCAAGACTGAGCGTGGTTCACGATGTGGATTACTGTGTTGACCCTTTGTAGTTCGTCGAGATCGACGCAATGCAACTGGAGGTCGTTGTGGAAGTTGACGTCTCAATGAAGGTTTTGGAGGGGGTCTTGCCTCAGGATCTGGGGCAACCGGTCTATCTGGCTCTTGAACCGAATCCACAACTACATCCTCAGCCGGCAAGAAAACTTCAATGTCATATTCCGAGTCTGAACCAGAATCTGAGGAACTCACCATCACCTTATCTATTTCCTGACTTGGAGAAGGAAAGGATGTTGGGATTGTAGGGACCAATTTCAGCTCAGCCGAATTCACGGTTTTTTGTTTACCGCTTCCATCTGCCAGTTCTATGAAGTACACAAAAGAAGTCATATCTGGTCGCTGTACTACTCGATATATGTCTGGAAAATAATAGTCCTGAATCTTACTTCTGCCACGACTATGTTTACGAAGGTAAACAAGATCACCTATTTTGAAGATGTTGGGATTAGCTTTGCGGTCAAAGTGTTTCTTGCTCTTCCTCAACTGGTGCTGTAGCTTGGTTTGTGCTAAACGGTAGGCTTCTTTAAGTCGAGACTGATGAAGTAGCAGCCAATTGTCGTCAGAACCCTTTAACACATCTGTGTTTAGTAACAAGTCAACCGGCAAGAAAGGTTGACGACCAAACATTAGATAAAAGGGAGAAAAACCTGTAGAAGAGTGTTCTGTGGAATTGTAGGCAAAGACTAGTTCTGGTAGGTACTTTGGCCAAGCACGTTTCTGTTCGTCTGACAGGGTACGAAGTAGGTTATGCATCGTTCTGTTGAATCGTTCGCATTGTGCATTGCCCTGAGGATGATATGCTGTAGTTCTTGATTTGTGGATGTTGTAGAACTGACAAAAGTGCTGAATTAGCACACTCTCAAACTGACGACCCTGATCAGAATGAATACGTCGAGGAACCCCATATTTCATGAACCACTCTTTGACTAATGCAGCAGCTGTAGTCCTTGCAGTTTGATCCTTTGTTGGAACAGCTACAGTGAACTTTGTAAAAATATCCGTGATCACCAAGACATTTTCTGTATGGTCTGTGGATGGTTCTAACAATGTGAAATCAATAGCGATGATCTCCAAAGGCTTTGAGGCGACCAAATGTCCCAGAGGATTTCTCACAGTTGGTGTAGGTAGTTTGGCAACCGAGCAGCGCTCACACTCATGAACCCATTTCTTCACATCACGGTACATATGCGGCCAATAACAACGACGACGAACCAATGACATTGTTCTCTCTTCTCCTTGGTGCCCAAAGTCATTATGTAAGCTTGTAAGAATTCTCGACTTGAGTGATGAAGGCAGAACTAGCTGATGTAGTGGACCAAGTTTAGGATCCGTTACCTCCCTGTACAAAACACCATTTCGAAGTGAAAGATGTTTAGTCTGTCTCAAAAGAACTTTTACAGCGGACGATTCTGTTTTCCTACTGGCTTTATCTGTGTCTTTGGAGTTGTGGTAACCTAAGTAGCGGTGTATGTCTGGATCAACTTCCTGTAATTTGATCAGTTCGGAATTTGACAAAGATGGAAAGGCAGATATAGTGGAGCCAATTTCTGCTTGAATTCGCATTGGACCAAGGTCAACGACATTCTCCGACATTTTCACCTGCAAATCCACTGGCAAAGGAGTGAAGGGAAACTGAGCATTTCCACTTATTGCTACCATTTCAGAAATTGTGCAGCTGTCTTCAGTTTCTATCGAGCACTGTCGAGATAAGCCGTCAGCATTTCGATTGGCATGACCAGGACGATAGACTATATTAAAATCAAATGGTGCCAGACTTGAAACCCATCTCTGTTCTGTTGCTCCAAGTTTTGCTGTGCTAAGGTGACTCAAAGGATTGTTGTCAGTTCTAACAGTGAAAGTAGATCCATATAGGTAGTCTTTGAACTTCTCTGTTATGGCCCATTTTAGTCCCATCATTTCCAGTTTTCTTGAGCTGTAGTTTTCCATCTTTTTCTCGTTTTCTCGAAGAGAACGACTCGCATACGCTATGACCTTTTCCTGATTGTCCTGGATCTGAGATAACACAGCACCTAACCCACTCAGACTAGCATCTACATCCAAAATAAAGGGTTTAGTGAAGTCTGCAAATGACAAAATAGGTGGGTTAACAAACTTGGATTTCAGTTCATCCATGGCTGTTTGACATTCTGGAGTCCAATGTTTTCGGAAAACTTTTGGAGAACTGCTACGACACTGACCAACCAAAGTATGTAGTGGCTTCGCAATCCTTGCAAAGTTAGGGACATAACGTCGATAATAGCTCGCAAAACCTAAAAAGGCTCGCAGCATCTTGACTGTACGAGGAACAGGCCAGTCGACAATGGCTTTGGTCTTGTCGGGATTCGATGAAACACCATCTTCAGATAACACATGACCCAGATAAGATATTTTCTTGCAGAACAAGTGGCACTTGGAAGGCTTCAACTTGAGTTTATGTTCTCTCAGTCTGTTAAAAACAGTGTCAAGATGCTGTAAATGATCATCAAAGGTCTTGGAAAAGATGCAAATGTCGTCAAGATAGACAAAGACCATCTGATACATAAGATCTCCCATGCATCTCTGCATAAGTCTCTGAAAAGTAGCTGGTGCTCCACAGAGGCCAAATGGCATTCTAGTATATTCGTATAACCCCATAGGTGTCACAAATGCCGTTTTCTCTTTATCTTCATCTCTTACTCTAACCTGATGATATCCACTGGCCAAGTCCAAGGAAGAGAAAAACTTGGCACCGACTGGAGCGTCAATGAGTTCATCAATACGTGGAAGAGGGAAAGCATCTTTCTTTGTGACTTCATTTAGGCGCCTATAATCTACACACATACGTAAAGAACCATCCTTCTTCCTAGCCAACACAATGGGAGCGGCATATGGGCTAAAACTTTCATGTATGATGTTGTGGTCAAGAAGTTTCTGGATGTGTTTCTTTACTTCGTTGTATTGATTAGGTGGAATGCGCC